CGGAGGCCGTCAGAAGGGCAGGTAGATTTCACACACCGGAGGTCGTCTGCAGGGCGCCCTGCAAACGCCCTCTGAAGGGCGTCAGAAGCGCAGGTAGATTTCACACATAGAAGGGCGTCCATGGTCTATTCAAACCACCTGTGATCAACGTCACCTGTATGTTGAATACCAGTGGCGAAATATGTACTCAAACCACGTGTGATCAACTTGAATACCTGGTGAATCAATTACTTCTTTTTTCAATTTAAAGAATGTACAAATGGATAATCATCATTTTCAGATTTTCACTCAAGTATGTGATACTGATACTACAGTGATACTGATAGTAATATGATACATTATTGTGTATAACAAAAAAGATGTATTGATGTCATCATAGGTGCAACTCCACTTTAGGCACCTTAGGTATCATCAACTGATGCACAGACTTTCCGTATATCAAGGAATGATGCAAAAACCCTAACCCTAACCCTAACCCTAACCCTAACCCTAACCCTAGCCCTAACCCTAACCCTAGCCCTAATCCTAACCCTAACCCTAACCTAAGGGTCCCTGTATACAGAGAGTTGCGCCATGACGAGTCGGAAAAAATCGGTCACGTGATCGCTGGACGGCATGTTGTTTCCAAATTGATCCACACCGCTGCCGCTTAAGTACAGCGCTGTATGGATATGCTGTACAATGGTTCGTAGTAATTAATTAGACTAATCGTGCTTCAATAAACTCAAAATTTACAGAGATTATAGCTAAGACATGTGTCTATGTATATCTAGATTTTTTAGAACTGCAAAGCACATGTTACAGTTGCGAGCGAGTGGAGAGTGGAACGCATTTATCTTGTGAATTACAGTTGTCATTATTCTTCCAAAATGACTAGCTGCTGTGTTTACACTAAGAAAGTGTACAATTAAAAGCTATATGGCGCGAACGATTTGAGTTACTTTTCTAGAAATCTAGATACATATAAACACATGTGTTATCTATGATCTCTGTGATTCTTGAGTTTATTGAAGCGCGAGTGGTTTAATTAATTAGCAAGTATCTACGCGCGGTATCGCACAGGTTAATATACGCACGGCTATGGGCGGTAAGAAAGTGTACAATTAAACTATCATATGGCGCGAACGATTTGAGTTACATTTCTAGAAATTTAGACGATCTGCAGCCCGGATATCCGCACGAAGCGCGCCAACGCCGCCTCGCGGCGACACAATGACTTATTCGCTGCCCTCTATTTAGAAACATCTACCCGAGGCCCTCTGGACGATCTGCAGCCCGGATATCCGCGCGAAGCGCGCCAACGCCGCCTCGCGGCGACACAATGACTTATTCGCTGCCCTCTATTTAGAAACATCTACCCGAGGCCCTCTGGGTACTACATAAAGCCGCATAATCGGTCAATTGAGGAGTTGTGGCGATTGCAGAAGCCTTTCGACTTTGCACGTAGGGCGAGAATAAATCCAAATGCTCGTTTTTGTTGGTGTGTGGCTCGGCGCGCGTCCTTTTCNTTTGTGCCACGAGTGAGCCGGCGCCAATCAAAAAACAAAAATCAAAAACAAAAATCTAAACTAAATCTAACTGAAATTGTTACTCGTCATCGGACGAGTAGGGTGTGATTTGGCACTTGTCCTGCTGAAAAATCACTCGTCTCGGACGACCGGACGAGTGCTAATCCGTGACACTGGGTGTACACAGTATGATTTTGCATCATTTTTACGAGACATCTCACGATTATGCTGCTATCCGTGGCTATACTCGCCTGTACGTTGCCTCTTCTTAAAAAAGACTTCCAGGGAGGTCTGTCTTTTCCCCGAAGAGTCCATGCTCGTTCCGCCGGCGGTAAACTGGTAACGCGCGCGCTTTGCTGAAGTTCGTTTGAAACGGCACTTCTGATTGGATCTCGCCTATACGACACCACCAATCAAATTGCTTGATATGTATGAAACTTCCGCTTGTCTGTGTGTCCGCACGAGGGTAAACAAACTCGCCGGCGACCCGCCCGTGCACAGAGTTAGTCTTGGGTTGGAAGTATTTAAAATAAACTTCGTTTTTTCAAATATGGATTAAATATATTACCGCCTTTAGTGGGAGTTTCTCTCAAATTGATAGCCGGTAACAAATTGCGCGATAGGCGGTAAAAATAACCGGTTACCGGCTATTAACAAGAACCCTGTATATTATATATAGAGTAAATATATATATATATATCAAGAGCACATAATAGAGCTAATCTTATATCTATTATGGCTATTATAGCTATTATCTACCTATTATACCTATTATGGCTATTATAGCTATTATAGCTATTATGGTTATTATGGCTATTATGGCTATAATAATTATAGATCTATTGTGTGCTCTTGATATATATACATGTAAGTATTTTACTCTATATTTGTACTCTTTCTGTATTTCGCGCACGCACGTGAATCTCGTTGTCGTGGCCGCAGGTGGAGGACCTGCTGCTCACATGGCACTACACGTTCGTCAGCACGAACAGCGTCGAGAGCGTCGAGGTGCCCGGCTTTTCGCACACGCTGCAGCTGCACGTCACCATGGAGCAGCGCACCGAGAAGGACCTCTGCATACAGGTGCGCGTGCGCTGCATGCTTAGTGTAGGGGGGGGGGGACGCACGTTTTTTTATGTGGGGAGGGCAATGTGAGAGCTGTCTCTCTGCTGAGGATTCTCGTGGGCCGTTTTTGAGATCGGGGTAACGTCGATGAGAGCATTTTTGGGAGGGGGAGGAGTATTGGGATCATATGCAGGGATGAGATTCTTCCGCGGATCCGCGGAAATCCGCGGATTTGACAGTCCCAGGGGTCGATTTTCTGAAACGTCTAAATTCGTTGAGAAAATTGGGAAGGGGTAACAATGTAACAATTTAAATTATATACCCTCAACAGCACCTGACTGTAGACTGTAGAGTGTAGACAGTAGGCTGACAGCGAAGTATACAGTGTATCTGTTTTTGCGTACCAGAAAAGGAAATCCTCGTTCACAGGCTGCAGTAGAGGGGCAAACATTTGAGGAAGCTGATCACGTAACGACGATGCCTGGCCTGGGGGCCGGGTTTACATGTTGCTGCGTGCATGTTCTGTGCATGACTATGCACTGATTGTTCCATTCGCATTGTGTTTTTTTCATTCAAATCTGGTCGCAGCAAGGCAGCTTATGTCTGAGTAAAACAATGCAAGCGACGGGTGGAAACATAAAAATATCATTATGTCTAGACATTTAATAACAAAACTTGCCCTATTTTCAGCCCCCCCCCCAATTTGCTATTATAGTTCGTTTGTTCCTTTTGACAACTTGAAAAGGTGATTCAAGAGTCTCCTATAATTTGTTCAGAATAGCTTAGAATGCACCAAATTGCACCATTCTTTTAAAAAATGACCTACGGTCCTCGCATTGCTCGCTCCTCTGTTTGCTAATTAAAATGTCAGCTGAAAATTAAATTCTCTAATCTCATCCCTGCATATGTTTAGGCGCATTCGACCTTCCTTCTTTTTTTCGCCTTTCATCTTTTTACCAGGTGACAAAGTCACTTATCCTAACTGTATTGAAGTATATGATGCCCCCCCCCCATGGGGAGGGCGATACCATCTGCTATATTCTCCACAGCAAATGCGTTCAGCGTTTACCGTGAAAGTGGCTTCGTCACTCGCATTCAATGTTCGGTATTTTTGACATTTGTTTTTCTTGGGATATCTTCGTCTCTGTGGTTTAACCTCGAAGTGCTGAATTTGATCGTGGCACTGTTTGTTTGTCGCCAGGCCGACTATCACCTGGAGATGGGCACGACGGAATCGGACGACATGGTGGCCTTCATGGACACATGTGTTCACATACACAGCACTGACCACTGCAGCTCACGTATGGCTCTCTCTCTCTCTCGCTCTCTCTCTCCCCCTCTCTCCCCCTCTCTCCCTCTCTCTCTCTCTCTGTGGCAATCTATCCTGGGTTGCAACGAGCTTCGCACAGCGGTTAGAGTTATTGTGCTTGGCGGTGAAGCGTTCCAGTTTTTGCCTGAAAAAAATATCGCTTTTTAGATCGCTATTTGTGCGATTACCGAAGTTTAGCGAGAAATTTCCAGGTTTTTTCACGTGCAAACAATGTGCAGTTATGGGTATGAATATTAATTGAAAAAAAACTCATGGAAATATGTGTTATGACTAGAAGCAGTTGTGATAATGTACAGATGACCAGCCATGGCATTGCCTTTGTCTCACATACATCGTGTATGAATTATACATTGTGCAACTGTTGTGTTGTGTATCTCATCATTGTTCACTGCATCACTCACATGCATATATGGAAAAAGCACAGTAATTGCTCACATGAATGTGCGCAGTACCTACGAGAAATGCTACATTCTCGCTTTTGCCGACGTCGCCCGAAAACGGGCTTTTTAACGGTACAGATGCCCGCTTGTTTTAGGCATAGGCGTCGGCGGGATATTCCTCACTTATGAGGATCAAGTATTATCACTAAGCAGTAATGATGATATGCTCAGATGATTAACCGTTACCATGCCATCGCTTATGTCTCGCGTATAGTCATACATCGTGTAGTTGTTGTGTTGTACATCTCGTAGTTGCATTGCTCACACACAGGGTTGTAGCCAGGACAATTTTAGTGCCGGCTAATATCAGTGACTGCATCATATGCCTAAATTATTATAATACTATTAATAGCAACATGGTGCCTAGCCAGCTATACTGCATGTACTGTGCTCTGTACGATGTGATCAGATGATGATTTCACACATAATTATTGTTGAGATTAAACTCAGACTCAGAGTTGTTTTTTAAATTAATTCTAAACGTGTGTATCAGCTGTGATTATTTGTAGATTGATTCACTACTTTGAAGGTAATTAATTGTACAGAAACTTCTCATTTTTGCGCCGGTCGGAAGGATGTTATTTAAAGCTACGTGCTGGTCGGTCAACACTAGACCGGCTATTAGTATTACCGACCGGCGCCGACCGGCGTAGTTACAATGGTGCTCACACGTATATATGCACAGTACGTACGGGAAATGCTACATTTTTGCTTTTGCTGACGCCGCCCGAAACCGGCGTTTTAACTTTTGACGTACGCTTGTCTTTCAGGCATCGGCGTCGGCGGGATATTCCTCGCGATCCTCGCGACGGTCGTCGCCGTCATCCTGCTGCTCTTCATCTGGTTCTTCTGGTTTCGCCGGAGGAGACGCTTCCTCAATTCACACGCGCTCATCGAGAACATGGAGGTAGGTGCTCGGCGAGCGTCCGTCGAACCGGATTTGCGTGGGCGCCGTGCTGCGGTCGTCGTCGTGATATTAGTGCCATCTGGTGTCGCTCACTCACTGATTGGCCGATGTTCGTTGTCGAACGAGTAGCGTTTTTCATCGTTGCTGTTATCGGCGCCACCTGGTGTTGCGGCGAGCGTCGACGAGCGAACCGGATTTCAGAGATGAGAATCTACCGCAGATCTGCAGTTTCCCGCGTTTTTCACTTTCGAAAATTATAGATTTTCCAAATTGTTCAAATCCGTTGAGAAAACTGTAGTGGGGTGGTGTACTGCCACCCGCGGACAGTGGGGTAAAATGTCGCGCGGCTAGTGATGCTCTTTAACCGTCTGAGCTCGCCATCCCGCAGCCGACAAATGTACTATCTATTCACGCACTACGCTGCAATGCGTGTGCGATGGCGGCGTTCATAAACAAGTTAGTTTTCGAAATTTCTGGTCACCAGAACGCGTCTGCTAGCATCTATTTTTTTTTTTTTCTGGGGTAGGACTCCCAGACCCCCCAAATAGAGCTTAGCACCTGCGGTGCGCAATATTGCGCTTTGTGCTATTCTACCAGTAAGTAGAAATATATCTCGTGTCTTTCGTCCGGAGCCGTTCTCATCTCTGAGATTTGCGTGGGCGCCGCGCTGCGGGCGTCGTCATCGTTTCTGCCGTGGTATTAGTGCCATCTGGTGTCGCTCACTGATAGGCCGATGTTCGTTGTCGAGCGCGTAGCGTTTTTCATCATCGCTGTTATCGTCGCCACCTTGTGTTGCATAATGATTGGCCGAGGTTCATTGCAGAACGCGCCGCGTTTCTTATCATTGCTGTTGTCAACGCCACCTGGTGTCGATCACTGATTGGCCGATGTTCGTTGCAGGGCGCACCGCGTTTCTTATCATTGTTATGTATAGTCTGTTATTTTAGTGTTTCCAGCCACAAAAACAATCCGTATGCATGATATTTGATCGAAGTTTCTGCACACAAATTGCGAAAGCGTCTTCACCATTTCGCTGCCGCCAGGAAGAGATCGTCTGCATGGCGATTTCATCTGACTTGCGACCAAAGCTTGCGACAGCGACATCTGGCGAAAATTGCGGACACGCCGTGCAAGTGACGTCACGCCAAAATGATCCTAAAGATAACCATAATGCAACAGGAAAGTGTCATGGATAACAAAATACAGGTTACTAATTTTATACTTCCAATTACAATTTCATCTGCGTTGACTGTATATAGGGGACTGTGAGGAACGAAATTTCATCGTATTGTTATTTAATTTCTCAAAGTATTGTAGTAGAAAAAAGAATATAATAGTAAAACCCGTATAATTTGGTGTACATAATACATTTTAGGTCTAAGACTAAGTAAGAGTAAGACTAAGAGTAAGAGAGTAAGAGTAAGACTAAGTAGTATACTACTACTAGTAAGTAAGAGTACAATCTGGAGTAGCCACAAGTTCCCATCTCGCTTAACACTACGTGGCGAGAGGCGAGAGGCTCCTCCGCCGTGTAACTAGTCGGAGAGCCTGGTCGGTTTAAATCTGGAGCTGTGTGCGTTTGTCAGGTGGCAGTGCCTCTGCCCCTGGGTCTGTCTCTGATTAAAATAATAAACAAATAATGCCATTTTAATGGGCGTACTATTCAATTCATACCTGCATAGCAGATTATTACATAACAATAGTATACTGGTTAGTATTACTATAGCTATAGCTCATACTCATGATAGCCATAGGGTCTATGTCCCCCAGGGTACTGGCGGAACGTACCCTGGGTACGGTCCGGTATACCGGAACGTACCCTGGTCGCTATTTGATATGGTTAGGGTTAGGATTCGGGTTAGGGCTATGGAGTAGGTGTTGGCGACTCCCTAGACTCGTTAGTGGAGTAGGCGAGGTACGGTCCGACATATTAGATAGTACCAGGGTACGTTCCGCCAACTTCCGGTATACCGGGCCGTACCCAGGGTACGTTCCGGCAGTAACCAGGGGGACATAGACCTTCATAGCAATAGCCAATAGTATACGCTGTATAAAATTTCTTTAGTTTCCATTAAACTAGTAATAGAGTGGGCACCTAGTGAAGTCCTATATTGTAGCTGGTTTATGGGTTCAAGGATAGAGATGATGTCCAGGATGCGGAATTTTTTTTCCCACGAGAGTTCCGGACACCAATCTTTCCTAATTTGCATACAGCCAATCAGCGCACTCCATTCACTCGACTTCCTCGAAGCAACAATGACGGCACGCAATTCGCTATTGTGTGCCATTTGTAGTGACAAACATGACAAAAGTATCGATTATTCGGAAAGAATTCTTTGGCTGTCAGTAAGTTTACACACGCGAAAGTTAAAGGCAATTCACAAGTATTACATGATGGGGCAGAAAGTACAGTTTTTTGAGGTTTTAGGCGGGTGTTTGCGCGATGTACTCTGTACACTGTTGACTGTATGATGCGCGTAGTGAAAGCTGTATGGTCGCCCATGCATAAAATGCGTGATCATAATATCATGATATCATGCCAACTATTGCCTTAATTGGCCATGTTGGGCAAGGCAGAAATACATAGTTACATAATAAACAGAGAAATCGTGTTTGCCAACATTTGCCGAATAATTAAATAAACGGCAAGATTTAACAAATAACTATAGCACCCGTTGTGACCTGACACCATAGATACTTTAGGTACATACTGCGCTGTATTTAAGAATGTGTGAAAGACATCGTGTAAACGTATCAAAGACACGTGTATGAATGACAACATGGGCGCTGATTGGCTGTATGCAAATTAGGAAAGATTGGTGTCCGGAACTCTTGTGGGGGAAAATTTTTTGCGTCCAGGACGGTGATATAGAAGAGGATGATGTTTATTAAGTACTGGACATGCTCTCTATCCTTGAGCCGGTTTATGAATTGTATCGTTATTTTGTCGCTTGCAAAGAAGCTGCTATATATAGTGTTTATGGCATTGTCGCGTAGTTTCTGCCCATGCTAGGCAGAGATCTGCACACACGATGAAGAAACGAGGAGAACGTCTTTGAACTGAGGTCCAGAGCCGACAAATAAGGTTCGAGATCGCGTGCTCATTGGTATGTCTCCGACGCATCTGCTTCTTCGATTGCAACTGGCATTTTACGTGGCATTGCTGTCCGTCTGGAAGTATAGCTGTAAGTGTTTTTTTTTTACAAGCTAGTACACTTCCTAGCCTCTAGGCACTTGTCATTATGACATGTAGAATCCTGGTAAATGTCCAGGTAAAGTGTAATCAGGCTTTGTGCCATTTAGTAGATGATTATTGACCTGTTGCAAGGGAGCTAGACGTAACGCCGTCCTCTTGCCTTCTGGCCCATGCTCTCTTGAATATTGTTAAATGAGTATGATAATTTACACACTGTTGCTCTATATCACCTTTGCTATAATATGTATATGATTGGATTGTTACCATCCAATTCCCTGGTCGCTGTTTCTATACATCACCTTTGCTTATGTGTATGATTGTTGCCCTATATCACCCGTTCTATTGTCTTGTTGGTTCTATTTTTGTTGTCGTGCGTGCGAGCGTGTGTGTGTTGTCGTGTGTGTGTGCGCGCGTGTGCGTGTGTGTGTGTGTGTGTGTGTGTTGTTATGTGTGTGTTTGTGTGTGTGTGTGTGTGTGTGTGTGTGTGTGTGTGTGTGTGTGCGTGTGTGCGTGTGTGTGCACGTGCATGCGTGCGTGTGTGCGTGCATGCGCGTTGTCATGTGTGCGTGCGTGCGTGCGCGCGTGCGTTGTTACAATCGACTCTTTATCATGTGCCGCCGGCCAGATGCACTGAATCCATCCAAGGAGTGTCGATTCGACACGAACTCGCTGCACGCGAGCTGCTTCCCTATGATCGGCGGGCACGCCGTCACAACGAGGGCCAACGTTCATCGCTGCCACAAGCCGATAGACGTCACCTTCTCCATCATCGTACGTCCCAGCGCGCGCGCGCGCGCGCTCACGCTCAACTGAGTCATGAGGTCCAAAATTGTCACCGATGGTGAGACGACGTTACGACCTGTAGTGTCGGTGATAATTTCGGATTTGCGACGGTTTTTGTATTTTGGATTCATTAACGATGTGGGTGGGCACATAATCTAATCATGTATTTCGTTTTAATGCATCTGGCTACGTATTTCCTTGTATCACTTACTTTTTGCTTTAAGTTTTACGTTGCAACCGGGCTGCACTCGTAGACTCCGCTTTCCTGCATTCGTAAAATAGGCTTAGTATTGTACCGCGTTTAATGTAGCTTCATTCAAGGTTTTTTTTTCTTTAACGTGCATGAAGAAAAAAAAAACAGTAAAAAATACGCAAAACGGTATTGCCTTTATAATACGCGTCAAAAACCCCACCAGTCCCCTGATTTTTCAAAATTTTTGAGAGTTGTAACTTTTGTTTTGTACTTTATATTTTATGCTATATGTTCTTTTTATATATATCAGGGTTCTTGTTAACTTTTGACAAAGCAGGTAATTTGACAATGAATAGCAGGTAACTGTTTTTCCGGCACGGACGGTAGGGTGAGCGGCGAAGGCCCCAACGCCCTGCTAGGAGGGTCCGGGGGCATGCACCCCCGGAAAAAAAATTCTGATTTGACCCACAAATAGCCTATTTTGATGGGTATGGGTTCTAGAATTTGGTAGTTTAGATAGGAAAATATATGCTATTAAGTATCTAGTATAAAAAGAAAAATCATAAATGTCAAGTAAAAGTCAGTAAAGTAACAGTGTATTTCCTCTTTATTTTAGTAGTATCTGCCAAGTTGAGAATTCAATTATCACTGCATTTTTATAATCTGAGTCCACATTATAATATAATGTGGACTGAAATATATTCTATTAAGTATTACAGTTACTACAGTATTGAGTATTCCATAGGACAGACTCCGACTAAAGTTCCAGGTAACACTATATGTCCTCAGACTCCTGGTCCACTTTATTTTAATGGTCAGAATCAGAGTCAGAGTCAACATCTGCAGCTTTCAATCTTTATTAACAGAAAATGCAAAATCAAGTTGCCTAACATTCTAGTAATAATCAAAATTTAAAATTTGTGCCACGAGTGAGCCGGCGCCAATCAAAAAAAAAAAAAAAAAAAAATCTAAACTAAATCTAACTGAAATTGTTACTCGTCATCGGACGAGTAGGGTGTGATTTGGCACTTGTCCTGCTGAAAAATCACTCGTCTCGGACGACCGGACGAGTGCTAATCCGTGACACTGGGTGAGCACAGTATGATTTTGCATCATTTTTGCGAGACATCTCACGATTATGCTGCT